AGTTTGGGAGCTGGAGAAGGATTTGGTAATTCGATGTTTTGCCGGTCAGTTTCCATCCCTTGCTGCCTAATTTATAGAAAAATCTCCATTTACCCAATGGATTCATAGGATAAAGGAACTTGGTCAGCATTAGATTATAAGCAATCTTAAATAGGAGGCCAAGCCTGAAGCGTAGGTCTCCGCCACAGAACACTGAGTGCTCCTCAGATGGGATGTTGGCACTGCCTGCATGCTCAGTTCCGTAGGGTTTCTTCCAGGTAGGACCTGAGTACCTCTTATTAGGAGGTGATATGTACACATTTACAAACAAAATATTCACTTTTGGGTCCGTATTTCTCAGTGCACTCACTTTTCAGCAACACAGGGAATCTTAAAATAGGGAAGAAAAGTTGTGGTTTAATCAGTTATGTGCATTACTGTCACCTGAGGAGTTTACAACAAAACAAAACAAAACAAAAAGCCAGGCTGGTCCATAGTCCCTCATTAAAAGTTAGAATGAGATAGAACGATAGAATCACCTGGAGAATCTCAAACCCAAAATTGGAAGCTATAACCCCTTCCTTCCAAAAAAACCAAAACCAAAAAAATCAGTATAGGAATCCCAGCCCAGATCAATTAACTCTTTGTTTCAGAGGTTGGGTTGAGGCATCAGTCTTTTTGTTTGTTTGTTTTTGTTTTTTAAATACTGAGGACTCTTACAGTATGCACTCAGGGTAAGAACCCTCTCTGCTTACATCTTTAAGAAAGCTCCCCAGGCCATTTTGATAAGCTTGAGAACTAGTGCGGTTACAGAGCTGAGTGTGTGGGATAATTGATGACACTAACAAACGAAGGACCATATTGGAGCCTGTTTCTGTTCTGGAGAACTATTAAGCTTTCCCTGTATCTGTTTTAGTAAGAACAAGGAGCATGGCATCAGTAAACAGGATTAATTAAAAGTGTATCAGCACAGGTTTTTGTTGTTTTTTTTTTAAGATTTATTTATTTACTTATCTGTAGAAGGGAAGGGAAGGAGAGAGGGAGAGAAACATCAAAGTTTGGTTGCCTCTCGTGTATCCCCTGCTGGGAACTGACCCACAACCCAGGCATGTGCCCTAACTGGGAATCAAACCAAGATCCTCTGGTTCACAGGCCCACGCTCAATCTACTGAGCTATACCAGCCAGGGCTCAGCACAGTGTTATGGACGGAGGAGATGTGATTGGTTGGAGGGAGAAAACAACATGACAAAAAAATGGGACTTTTGCAGTGGAACATTCCCATCTTGTGGCTTGTGAGAATAATGCTGGTGATGATTAAAAGCTGTGTGCATTCTTGCAACTAACGAAAGTTTGATGCTACTTCCAGTGATCAGGGCAGAAAAATTAGGCCTCCAGCACTGATCTCTACAGTCCGGTCTTGGTCCCTGGCCCTGTAATTGGACACGGAACACCCGCCTGCTTCTGCAGCCTAGTGTCAGGGGTTTCTGTTCCACCTGCTGCCACCGCGTTCTGTCTGCTTTAGCCTTGGCGTCGTAAACACAGGGGCCATCTAAAGTTACTTGGTTGATGCGCAGTGCTGTGGAGTCAGAGTCGGATCTCACCGTTCTGATTTCATCTGTGTTAGATTACCTGTTTCCTCATCTGTCAGGTAAAGGGGGAAATAATACTACTGATTTCACAGAGTAGTTTTAAGAGTTAATCGAGCCATTGCATGCACTGAGAGGGGTGCTTAACATACCATAAGTGATGGATAAATGTTTACCGTCCATCAGCAGATACATTGTGGGTATCTTTTATGTGCCAGTACCTAGGGTAGGTATTGTAGATGTAAAGTAGCTCTTCATGAGCAAAACATTGATTTTATCACTTAGAAATACTAATAATGTATGGAACATTTTCATGTATATAGTAGATTCCTGGTTATTTAGAATATCAAAAGCCCTGTATGTCAATTAGTTGATCAAGAATTTCCTTTTGACATGTACTCTCAAGTTAGTAATGTAGTTCGACTGCATTATTTTTGAACAAAAGAATTGAGATTTTAATGTGTATGTAGGGAATAGAAAGGCCATAAAATGTCAAAATGAAGAATGAGTTGGCTTAGTTTTGACAAAAAGTATTTTTTCCTGAATGCTTTATCCCATCAGATTATATTAAAATGGCTACATTATACATATTCTAGTTGGAAATTATTTTAATCATCATCAAGCCTTTCCTGAAGGCTTACAGCTATAAATGCTAGAGAGAAGTCATCCCTTAGAAAAATATTGTCTATTGTTACTCTGTTTCTGTTGTCCCAGTTTTCCTCCCTTTGCCCTCCTCTGCCCAGCCCAGGAGAATTCACCCTTAAAATTGAAAACTTTTCCTGAAACCATCACCTCTGGTCCTAAGTTTGCCTTTCTAAGTGAGACGCATCCTGCAGTGCCTGTCACTCTTTGGAAAGTGCTCTTCGTGATGGACTCTCTCTGGAGAGAGATTTTAGTTCCTTGAACTGGCCTTGTCACAGGGTTTTAAGCTTTCTCTCGCCTTACTACCCTGTGTGTGTGTACTCATTCACGTTGATCATCTTCACCAGGTAGGTAGACCTTGGTGCTTTTCCCATCTCAGTTGGGTGCTGTTCCTGGTGAAGTCCCTTTGGCTGTGGTAGAGAACTGAGTCAGCCAAGCTGCAAAGTGAGAATTTCTCTGGGAGCGCAGCACTGCTGTCTGCACTGCTGTCTGCGCTGGTGAAGGTGGCATTGGCTTTGTGGGCAGCTTGTCAGGCTGCTGCGCTGTTTGGTTACATTGTGTACCCCCCCCCCCAATGTCTTTAACATTCATTTTAGTTACTAGAGTTGAGGCAGTGTTAAACAATGATAATTTGATTCTTTCGATATAATAAATTTTCTCCTTTTTTTTTTTTTTAACAAAGTAAGGTTTTGGTGGGGGAGCCTGGCATCTTCATGAAACTGCTGTGTCCTAGTCATCAGTACCCTTTTTGCACACCTGGGAGTCAGTTTTAGGTTTTGTCTGAATTTCTACACTAAGTCGATTTGTTTTCTAGCATCTCTCATTTACTTTGATTTTAATGGTGGTTCAGTGATTCCATTAATAGGGTTAAGTATCCAGGAACCTAAGCAACCTTAGAAAAGTTGGTAGGTGTCTTTGTAATAATTCTTTATATTTTGTTTATCCTTTCTTATTCATGTTTCTTCTGTTTTTTAAGTGTGAAAGTAATTGTCCTGGGCAAAGAGGTAAGTTGAATAGGAAACAGTTTTGCTTTCTTTTTATCAACAAAGTCAGTACTATGGATCATTAATTGAGCATTTATTATGTGGTACACCCTGTGCAAAGTATTTACTGTATATCACCTTATTTTCAGTAATAACAATGCCATGACATAGCTCCATTTTGCAAATTAGCAACCTAATACTCAGGAGGAATAAATAGTCTTCCCAAGGGCTCAGGTAGGAAATGCTGGAGGCTGGAACTCATACCCACACCTCTGTGACTGTTCCCCTTTGTATGTTTCAAGAAATGGAGAGGTCTTTGATACAGCATCGTGTGTGGTTTGTGCACTTTCTTGGCATTTCACAGTACTGCAGGGTCGCCAGTCTCATCAGTCGGTGTCTTCCCCATGAAGCTCTTTTCCCTGCTAACTACTTGCTGTCTTTACGAGGTCTGGATTTTTGGGTGTGAAATCATTTTTGTGTAAAGTATTCATCACAAATTTTGCTTCACATCTATTACTAACCCATTGTTTTATTTATTGAGTTACTGATAGGAATGCCATCTCCCTGTTTTTAAGATGTGCACACAAGCTTTGGAGCTTGACTTACTTTAAATCTTGGCCCTTCACCACTTCTTGGGTGTGTGACCCATAGCCATTTATTTAATTTCTCCCTGCTTCAGTTTTCTTATTTGTAAAAAAGAATATAGTAATACCATTCTCTTAAAGTAATTGTGAGAATTACATGATTCAATAATACATGTAAAATAATTAGAATATTGCCTGGCACATAATGTTCAATAGTTGTTACCTGTTGTCATTCATTAACTGGTTATTGATGATTAATTTTTATCAATTATGTATTTAAATGAAACAATAGTCAGTGAGATACTAATTATTATTTTGTTTGACTTTTTTCCCTCTGAGAACTTATTATATTTTACACTATGTTGACCTTTAGTCTTAAGGCGATGAGCTTATACTTAAATAATCATATTACTACTTTTAATAAATACTATGTGCCAAGCACTATTCAAAGCACTTTACGAATATTAACAACCGCATGTTGTAGGAATTTTTATTAATGATTCCTGTTACTCTGAACTTTTAAAATAATTGCCTGTTCAGCCTTGCAGTGGTTACCTCCTTATTTTTATGGAAATTTAATTAAAGGAGAGAGCAATATAAGAGTTGGTTACTTGGTGCGTCCTTCTGGTGAGAAAAATTAAGAAGTGCTGGAGGCTTGGTTCTCTTCGTGTTCACTGTTGTTAGTTCCCTCTGGTACACGCTCCTGCCGTTGCTTCCTCTGACTGATGAGGTGCTCTGTTCACCAACCGTCTTGAGGTGTTGGAACTTACCAGGGGAACGGCTCTTCTTTCAGGCATTAGATAATTGAAGTCTTTTATTTCTGTCTTATTGATGGTTCTACTATGTCAAAAAATTATCTTCCTGCAGACAGAGGTTAACAGGATCACTTCTGTAGTAACCTCAGGTTGAGGTGCTGTTGGTTGATTTGACTGGAAGAACTCCTGCGTCATGTAGGGAGGCTTGTCCTGAAAGGCATGAGTGCTGTACGTGGGTGTTTTAACATGTCTTCACACTCTGGGTGTTTCACATGTACATTTACACTGTGTGCGCTCTGCCGTTTGTGTGAGGGTAAAGAAAATGATTTGTAGGAAACTTAGTTAGTCCTGTGATACAATTTTGTGGGGTTTTGAAACCCATTAGTATGATGTATTTATTTTTTCTTTGAAATAAAGGAAATGTAAACTATAAGAATAGTGTATAAGCTCACTTCTGTCTTGTCTGTTAGGTGGTGTTGAAGATAATCAAGCATTATCAAGAGGAAGGACAAGGGACCGAGGTGGTCCAGGGAGTGCTTTTGGGCCTGGTCGTGGAGGACCGGCTGGAGATTACCAACTGCTTCCCCTTCCCCCAGCACACGGAGGATGACGCCGAGTTTGACGAGGGTAAGGCTTCTCATCTCACATGTGTCTTCGCGGTGCGCGCACGTGGTTATTAACATGATCTGTACCGTACCATTTGATTATGAATACAATTCTCACCATAACATTCGATGATCTCTTACTGGGAGCCTATCAGGCTAGCCTAGGTCACTTGATTTTTGAGTTTCTTGAAAAAATTATAAAATTCTCTGACATGAGAATGTGGATAAAAACTTCGTTAGTTTGGCCTTCACTAGTTTGGAATTTGTGATTCTCATTTGAGTAATTTGGGTAGGAGCTGTACTAATGTTGACCTTCCCATCATGAAATCCGCTTGGCAAATAACTTACATTGTGAAGGACAGGGATCATAGTTATGTCTCCAACATCCGTTTTCTTCTATGATATTTTGACTTAATGTTTTTGAAAAGATGCGTTATCTACTTCAGAATGAAGATTCTTTTCAAGCATTTTATTTTTCTGCAACTCACCAAGGGCAAGAGCAATAATCTAAAAGATTTTTTGAAGAATTTAGTTAAAAATACATTATTTGTTTGAACTCTCAGGGCTTATTTTCTGTATATCTTATTTTGTTTATTATGGTTAAAACACATAACAGAAAACTTACTTTCATAACCATTTCCAACCGCGCTATGGAGTAGTGTTAACTCTATGCAGGTCGTTGGACGAGAGATCTCTGCTGCTTTCTCATCGTGCTAAAACCGAACGCCACTTCCCTTGATCAGCTTCTCCCCCTTTTCTGCTCCTCCAGCCTCTGGCAGCCACCATCCTACATTGTTTCCAAGAGTGTTACTGCTTTAGGTGCCTCGTGTGTGTTGAATGATGCGGTGTTTGTCTTTTGGAGACTGGCTTGTTTCACTTACTGTTCTCAAGGTTCATCCATGTTGTAACACATGAAAGGGTTTTCTTTTTTTTTTTTTAAGCTTGAGTAATATTGCATTGTGTCTGTATGCCACATTTTTTGATCCATGTATCTATTGGTTATTTCTACCTCTTGGCTATTTCGAATAATGATGCAAATATCTCTTCAAGGTCCCACTTTCAGTTCTGGGCTATATACCCAGAAATAGGATTTGTTGGATCATATGGTAGTTCTATATTTGTTTTTTGTTTTTTTTTTTTTTGAGAACTTTTCCCCTAGCAGTGCTTAAGGGTTCTGATTTTTCTACATTCTCTTGAACACTTGTTATTTTCCATTTTTTATAACTTATTTGGGGAAATGTCTATTTAAGTTCTTTGCTCATTTCTTAGGATTTTTATTGTTGAGTTGAATGAGTTCTTTATATATTGTGGCTCTTAACCCCTTGTCATCTGTATGGTTTGCAACTATTTTCTCCTATTTCATAGATTGTTTTTTCAGTCTGTTGATTGATTCCTTTGCGGCATAGAAGCCTCTTAGTTTGATGTAATCTATCTTGTCTGTTTTTGCCTTTGGTGTAATATCTAAGAAATCATTGTCAGACCAGTGTTTTGAAGTCTCTGTCCTATATTTCTTTCTAGGACTTTTATACTAGTACCACACTGTATTGGTTACTGCTTCTTAGTATTTTGTTTTGAATTCAAGCAGTGTGAGACCTCCATCTATGATTTTCTTTCTTAAGATTATTTGGGCTGTTTAGGGTCATATGAGATTCCATGTGAATTTTAGGATTTTTTTTTTCTATTTTCACAAAGAGACATTTTTGGGGTTTGGATAGGGATTGTATCGACTCTGTAGTTCACTTCCGATAATATGGACACTTTAAATCTCCCACTCCATGAACACAGGAAGTCTTTCTATTTGTGTTTTTACCTTTTTCTGTCAGCGTTTTGTGTTTTTCAGTATACAAGTGTTTTTGACTTTGTGGTTAAATGTATGTTTAAGTAGTTTGCTTTGTTCGATGCTGTTGTAGATTTTTTAAAAAATTCCTTGTAGGCATTTATTTTCTATATAGCTATTAACTGATCACTTTTAATTTGGATAAAGTGTTACTTATGTCATCCTCTTAGTACCTTAAACATATAATAAGACACAGTACATTCTTGCTAAAGGTTAGTGCCTTGATAATGCAGCTAGGTCTATAAAAATCATTCTTTCATTAAAATAATACCTCTAGCAACCACCAAGCCTGTTTCATTCTAGGCATTTGAGTATTTTGTGCAGTATATGGCTTTTTTTCTGTCTTTTTATTGTGATAAAAGCACATAACATAAAATTTACCTGGCCAAAGGCTCACCATTTTTTCTGAACTACAGTGATATTTCACCTGACCTGCCATAATGCCCGTAGGATTAAGGCTGGGATTTCTCTGTAGTCCCCTCTGGCAGTGTTAAGAAATCTCTGTTTCCATATTGCTAAGGTATGGAGATAATTACATTGCAGTAGTAACTGTTTCAGAGCTAGAAGATGAGAATGGACGAGGGATTGTTAACATGGTTTTTATTGGTTTTCAAGTGAGGGATGTGAGAGTGGTTTGCTCGAAGCCACTTATCTCAGTTACCAGATTAGCGGTACAGTTGGGCGTAGGATCCACTCCTGGGCAGTTATATTGGCACCCAGCTTTCGTAGATAATTAACTTTGTTTTATAAAATTCTCAGTTTAGAATGTGAGTAAGAAACAACGTTCACTGAAATTATGGTAGATGAACAAAGCAAAACGTATTACTCATTTTAGAACTTGAATGTTGGAAGCTAACTTCTCTTGTGAGCTTGAGCTGATTGACCAGTATACTGTTTCATTAACATGTACTTTAAGAAGCTCATTAAAAATGTTTGAACAACACTGAGGAGAAATGTCAGTTTAGCATTAGACAGTAAAAATTGCTGGACATTGTGTGTTATGTACTAACTACTACATGTGCATCACCCGTGGTCAGTTGTTACTCTGCACAGTTGAAGTTTTCATGTGTTTAATTTTCCAGATTAGAAAACTGATGCTCAGTAAGACAAATAGCTATCACTTACCTGGGATTTGGAGAACAGGGATTAAAGTTTGTGGTTGGTTGCCTGGTTCTAAATCTCAAGATTTTCTTACTATATGATGCTGCTTTTAGATACTTGGTGAAGTGGAAGCCAGTGATTAAAGGGTATTAAGTGCAGGGCATCACTTTTTTGTAACCAGAATCATCTTTTTGGGTAAAATAACTAAATATGTTTAAAAACTTTTATTGATTTTTAGAGATGGGGGAGATTGATTTGTTGTTCTACTTATTTATGCATTCATTGGTTGCTTCTTGTATGTGTCCTGACCAGGGGTTGAACCTGCAACCTTGGCCTATTGGGATGAGGCTCTAACTAGTTGAACTAGTCAGCCAGGGCTAAATTTGTTTTTCTTGACTTTATTTAGAGTTAGTAGGATTTGCCATTTTTCTTTTTATACATTTGAAAGATTGAAGATAACACTGTTTCTTCATTGCTTTATGTAGTTATCTTGAATGTTAGACTATCTACTTAATCCATTTATTTATCTGAATGGGCATTAGTATGCAGTCAGTATTAGATTTATGTCAAACCTAGATAAGAGCCAAATTCTTCTATTATATGGGTATATCCTATATTAGAATAATTTTGCATTTATGCTAAAGGCCCATTGTTTTGCTTACTGCTTCTCCATGATTTTATGCCTGCTCAAACTAATATTTTTCAGGGTTTTTATTGTTGTTGGGCAAGCACCAGACCAGCACTTGATGTTTCCTTTCTCATTGAGTCCCATCGCCCAGTGAGGGAAGCACCTGCGCTGGCTCCACGTTACAGGTGGGGGCGGAGGCCCAGGGAGGTGCCAGCCTTCCTAAGGCTTTGGAGCACCAGCCGGCCCACCAGCTCTTCCGACTTCAGGGAAGGCTCTTTCTTTCTGCCTTCTCCCTTATGGAAGTCAAATACTCACCAAATAGCTCATAATTTTATTAATCATGAATTGAATTTCCTTAAATTCAAAAAAATTGTTTTTGTTTTTGTGTCTCATGTAAAGTAGAAATTTTTAATCTGTGGTCTAAAGTGAGGTGTTTTAGATTTGGGGTTGGCAGGTCACAATTTGTGGACCTGCTTTTGCGTGTCAGGTTTTATTGGAACACTGTCCTGCCCATTCGGTGCTGTGTTTTCGGTGGCTGCACTCCTGCTACCGTGGTGTGACCAAGACCATCTGGGTGCCAAGCCTAAATTTGTAAATGTCTGGCACTTTAAGAAAGTTTGACCAGCCCTTTTTTATATCCAGTTTTTTCTTATTGTTCCTCACTCATAAGATTGACAATAAGGTGGCAGTTCTTTCTTTTTGTCATAAACTGGTGACCTTTTTGTTTGTTTATTTATTTCTTCTGCGTGTTTCCCTTAGCATTGACTCAGAGTCCAGAGTGCATTGTGGACACTGTAACGATAGTGTTGGTATTACTGAGTGTTTGTTTCATTGGTGCATCTGGAAAGAATAAGAATAGGTGGTGTTTGCTTTCATTAAAGTTCATTTTTCCTTTAAGAAACCCCCCCACATACTGAATTGCTGCTATTTTGGGGAACTGTCCACAGATAATAGGGAAGAAAGGCATTTAATTCGTGGTTGCAGACTTGTGACCGGATCCCGCGGAAAGGTAATGCTGTGAGGCCAATAAACTTGGGTGGGAATCCTAGTTCTCTCTTTACAGGGATGTGTATGACTGATTGATTTCCCTTCTGAGCCAATTGTTTTCACTTTGTAATATCTTTCATTTATTTAGTATATATTAATTGCTCACTGACTGAGTCCTGAAAACAAAGCTGAAGGGTAATTTTTATAAGATCAACCTTTGTATACTGCTACCTTAGATTCTGTTAAATAGGATGATCAACACCAAGAAAACTTGGGGCAGGAAGTTTTTCTTGTTTGTGTCTGCTCATGAATTTACACTTTGTTGTTGGACATGTTATAACTCCTTTGCGTGGATTAAATCTTGTTACCTTTTATATTACAATTCATTTTCTAGTTAAATGTGAAATAAACTTGCTCATATTACAAAATACAGGCTTTAAAAAAATGAGTAGAAAAGCTCATACTGAAA